TTGCAAGGGTCTCCAACTTGAGCCTCATCAAATGCCCAGGTTTACCATGCTCTGACACTGCCTTTGAATTACACACACCAGTCTGTAAAGAACACATTCCTGTTTCTAAGAAACCCAAGTGGCTAGGAGTCCAGATCCATAAAACTTGGTCTTTGAAATATGTGTACATGTGCGCAAGTTATTTACACACTCTATCTTTTCCTCTACTTCTAAATTCATTGATCCAGTGGCTTTGGTTGGGCTTGGATGTATAGCTGACACTAAGCACATAATGAGGACAGATCTGTTATTTTCTATGAAACCTTACATCCTATAAAAATGTTCCTTTGTGAGCATGAAACATTAGCAAATTGATCTCAGTGAGAAAAATAATGTGGATTGTTGTCCAGATGTTAAGAATATCAATAATAATAAAATAATGAAATATTTGATACTACTTTTTGATAATGTATTATATTGTGCTGATTGCTAAGAGATAAGAAAATGTGTGGTAAGTGGATGTATAAATAGGTAGGGGCAAACTACTCATATTAGTGGCTCATTTCAATTTTGTTTTTCATTTCCATTTTACTCACTGCTTATATTTGATTTGGTTGTTGTGGTTAAGTGCTACTAACATCATTAGATCAACATTTGGTGTATACTATATGTTTTTAGTTGTAATTCTGTTATAGCATTTTCTCAGGATACAAGTATTTTTAAAACCTCTAAAGAAACACTGTACACTTAGATTTACCTAAAACCCTGTAGTTCTATTCTAGATGGGAATTCTGTTGAAAAATATCGATTTAAATTCTATTACTTGCATTAACAATGGTGGAAATGCACTGCCTTTTAGGCAACATAGACAATTACACATCACAAGATTCATAACTCTATTGCAACCAATTTAATAATTATTTCAAATACTTTGATTTTCATTTCAAGCAATATCCTAGAGAAAATGAGGTTGCATACATGCCAGCAAATATAAAGATCATGCTGCTTAGAATTTCCTATACAGTAACTTTATCAAATCATCCGAGAAACAGAACGCCCATTGGAAACCATATGGTTTCCTTCTTCAACAAACAGAGCACAGCGCTTTTCACAATATTATTACTTATCATCTGAATTCTCCATTCTTAATCTAATGAGAAAATTCACATGTCACGAAAGAACAATGCAGTTCAGATCAGGTAGCACTTGAAGCAACACGTTCATGGAATGATAGCAAGATTATGGAACCATTGCTGTGGTAACTCCTTGCTCACAGAACCATCTCCAAGGTATTGTTCACCTGGTGCTGCCACAGTGTTTTCTACACAAATTAATTGCAGGCAAAAATTACTGCAAAAATTACTTGCATTCTTTTCCCAGGCACTTGGATGTTAGTCATGGCCCAACTATTGTGGCCTACTTTTGTGCTGCTTGGTTTAGGTGGCAGGAGTGGTGTGTTTATTCTTTATTGTGGATGTTTTTATTATTTGTAGTACTTTACTGGTGATGGTTTATGTTGATTTTGGTGGCTTTTCTATTACAGATTATGGATTTCTGTATTTGTATGTCACTTCCAGGAGGCTACTGGCAGTGCAAAACTAACTAAATAAAAAAAGAATAATAACGTTACCCATAAGAAGATTTAAACTAAGCAATATTATGTTTAAATAATATCTGAATTAAAATTAAATATTAAAAATCCTTCCTTAAAATGATCGTTTAAGTGCAGTGCTCTGTTCAACAGAATTTTGAACATGTTAATAGGAATACGGAACACGGTCCCCAGAGAGGTCCGCCTGGCGCCGTCGTTATTTGCTTTTCGGCACCAGGCGAAAACCTTTTTATTTAAGCGGTATTTTAACTGTTAGTATTAACTGATTTTATCTGGCCAGGGCGGCTTATTTTATATTGTATTTTTTGGATTTTTAATGTTTATATTAATTTATTGTTGTAAGCCGCCCCGAGGCTTCGGCGAATGGGGCGGCATAAAAATGTTTTAATAAAATAAAAAATAAATAAATACACCTGGGTTCCAGGCCAAACTCCTTGCAATGTTCAGGATCCTGGTTTAAAATTTTAGGCTCCTTAAACTGTCCCATCAGAAAAATGAGAATAATGATCTGTCTCACATATTTGTTACAAGGGTGAAGATAAGTAAATGTTGGTATTCACTTCTTTTTATAGTGTGTCAGTATCGCTGGCATGTGATGAACTAAACATAAATCATCACAGTGTCTTCCTGTGGTGAATGGAAGAATATATGAAACAGTCTTCTAAGAAAGGTGACTCTTATAGTCATTTTAAAACAAGAAAAACAAAGCCTTTCTTTCTTTCCTTCCATCACTTGGTTTTTATTGAGAATTTCTGTAGAAACAAACACACTTAAAGCATTCCAGAAGCATTCTCTGTCCCCAGTTCATCAGGTACTGCAGCATGCTGTCTCCTGGTCAAGATCTACAGAGAGTCTGCACAATTTTAAATCATACTCTAATATAATTCTGTGGCTTCCACTTGGAGGTATGTGGAGCTGAGTGTGGGACTGAGACTCAGGAGATCTGGGTTCTAGTCCCCACTCAGTCATGGAGCCAACTGGGTGATGTTGGGCCAGTCATAGACTCTCAGTCCAACCCACTTCACAGGGTTGTTGTTGTGAGGATAAAGTTGAGAGGAGGAGGAGAATTATGTAAGCTACCTTGGAAGGAAAAAAGGTGGGACATAAATATAATAATTAATTAATTAATTAATTAATTAACTTTGCACTTCCCCAAATCTGCTCAGGAGCATCTCCCAGCCTTCTGGAGCAGGTGTGCATGGCATATGAGCAGAAGCTGGAGTTTGTCAGTGGTTGTGCTGTTGTGCTGGTCGAAGGACATGACTGGATAAAAACCTTTTACAATGCCAGAATATTTCAGCTCATGTTTTAATCATTATAATGCAAATTTGCTATGTATAAATCACCTTACAGATGAATGCACACATCACAGACATTAAAATGTAGATCTTTAGGTGTACTTTCAAACCAAAATTAACTCTCACTTCATTAAACATTGTTAGTCACAGAAAATCTCCTGTGATTCCTGAAAGCACTTCTGCCTTGGTAATCACAGGTCCTCTCTCAAAATATTCCCATTTTTCTAAAATGACTGCTCAAGGTTGATTGGGTAGTTGTCGTGTATTTATTAGGAGAGAAGGTGATTTAATGTGTCCAAACATTGACCTTGGGACCATCACAAATATAGCAATAGAAATAACTCACATGAGATGACATTGGAAAGTACACTCAGTATGCAGAAAGTGAATGTGTTCTAGCAAATATCAGAACACATTTCCTGCACCAGTTATATACCTAGGGCAGTCGTCCCCAGTGTGATGGACTGTGGATGTTTAGGACTACAATCCCCATCAGCCCAAGCCAGCATGATCAATAAACCTAATTATGGGAGTTGTAGTCTAAGACATCTGAAAATACCATGTTGAAGAGGGCCAGTTTGGCAAGTAAATCCATGTAATATTAAATTACAATTCATCTACAGCTGACAAAACTTTTCACCTTCTTTAAATCTTTTGTAAACAGAGGCACAAACTCCATTAAAATACTTTGGCTACACACCCTTAAAAATGTCTGATGGGTACTTTACGGATGAACTGAATGTAGCTGTCATTGCACCAACATATGTTTGAATTGCAAAAATTAAGGCCAGCACTTCTTCTTGCCAAGTATCACAGCTGTCTTGTTCTAGCAGAGCTGCTTTTTTCCTGGTCTGTTTTTAACTGAGTTTCTACTAGCAAGCAGCCGGCTGCATGAGAAAGTCACAAAGGCTGAAGCTGGGCTGTCTTCTTGCCTATCTTGCCAATCCTTCTTGCCAAGGAGAAGTAACACACCAGCACCAGTATATGTAAACTCACAGGATCAGTACATGAGATTCTACCTGCAACATCCATTTTCACTACTAGGTAGTGGACAATTTTGACTTTATATATGTCTATCCCAGCTCTACAATGAGCAGATTATTTACAGTACTGGAGACAAGTGCCAGGTGCCATTCAATGGGCATCAGTAAACACAGTACAACATTCAAACATTACATAGAAAAATATTAGTTACATGAGTTGAGTTGCTCTTGGATTTTGACTGTTCTTTACTCATAAGAACTGTGCACAAACGTGGAGACATTTCTTGGTCAACCTCACAGAAGCTGTCACACACAAACACAATATTGCAAATTATATTCATCACATAGTATTAATCACAGTTACACTTCAAGCTTAGTACCCTGTGATGGAAACTCTTACTCTTCACTGGACAATCCAAACATCTCATCAGAGCTAAAGAATTGCTAACAAAATGCTGAGCATTGTTTACTTAAAACTTACTTGTGTTGATTTCATGAATTGCAAAGAGAATTTAGTAAATATATTCATTGTGTTGAATCCAACTTTGTCCTTACTGCCAGTGAACCAGATATTACAGGTGTTTGCTGTCTGCCTTGCTGTCCACACTGCAGTCCCACACTGCAGTCCCACATCTCAGAGAGTTGGAGGACCCTCCCAAGCAGATCTAGAGGTGCACAGAGGTCCGCAGGGAGTAGGAATGACATGGATTCTACTCGCTTCTTTGCACACTTGCAAAAATAGAGGGCAGGGAGGGAGGGATTCATCATGGTTCGTTCCCAGCATGCCACCAAGGAGCTGCACAGGGCCATCTTGCAGTGCTGATGTATTTGTATATAGTAAATCCCACACACAGCAGGCCTGTGAGTGGGTCCCAGTGGAAGAAAACCCATTCCAAAAATAATAAGTTAAAATGCAGATTGAAATCTAAAGATGTGCTGTCTCAAACAGTACAAGAAAATAGTACAACAGTTATTCTGTTAGTAGTTTAAGGCTGGAATCCTATACACACTTATCAATAAATTCAGTAGGATTTATTTGAGAGTAGATGTGCATAGGATTGCAATGTCAGTTGTTTCTTAGAAGTTATCTCTCCATACACACAGCTCCAGTCCCAATATATATGTCTCCTAATACTTGCTGGGCAGTCCACACACCATGTTTATGCTATAGCAGCAAATTATCTCCTTAAAAGTCTTCCGCATTTCCTGGCTTCGAAAGGCATAAATCAAGGGATCAATAACTGAATTGCACATGATGAGGATGAGGTACATGTTGAAGTGGGACATGAAGCAAATACAGTAGAGATTCTGAGGACAGGAGATCATCAAGATAAGATGGAGGAAAAATGGCGCCCAGCAAACAATAAAAATGCCCAGTAACATAGTTAGAGTAATTGCACCTTTCATGCTGGTCCTCTGATGAACAGAATTATATCCTGGCAATGCCGCTATCTTCTTAACATGGGTACGAGCCAGAAGGAACATATGTATGTACAGTGACACCATGAGAAACAACATAGTGAAGAACATGATGATCAGGCACATGATAACATACTTAGACTCATAATAGAGGATGAAGAGGATTCCACAGCCAGTGCAAAAAGTCCATATGCATGCAATGATGAGCCCTGATCTTTTCACAGTCATGATATTATGGTATCGCAGGGCATAAAATATAGTGATATACCTGTCTACTGCTATAGCTAGCAAACTGCACATGGAAGCCACCACAGATATGCAGATCATTGAGTCAAAAACATTGTCTATGTGACGGACAAAAACATCTTCAATAATGAGATGCCTGTTGTTTAACAAATATATGGTTATGGTCTCCCAGGCATTTGACACACTGACTAACATGTCAGCGACAGCTAAGCTGCATACAAAGAAATACATAGGAGAGTGCAAGTTCTTGTTCTTAATTATGGCACAGATGACTAAAATGTTTTCAAGAAGGCTTACAATGCCAAGCATGAGAAAGACCTCAGCGGCTATGACCACTTGCTCACATGTTGATGGATTCGTCTTCACAGAGGGCACTGTAAGGTTACTCCCAAGTGCAGTCACATTAAAGTCTAGAATACTGGGTTGATTGGAGGGGTTCATCACTGCCGGCAAAGATGCTGTTCTAAGATGCTCTCTTGTAAATGCATTCTTCGGAAAGGTGGAAGATCCTGCTGAACACCCAAAAGGAATGACAGAGTATGACAAAAAAGAAGGAGATCTAAAGGGCTGACTGGAGCTTCAGGTGGCAAAGCCATCTGTTAGAATGTGGACTGCTTCCAATATATTACAATTCAGGGGGAATTGGGATGAATTAATGCAGAAAAATACAAGAGAAGTGGTGGACAGGCTTTCTATGAACGTTTCCATTACTTGCTCTGCCAAACAAATAAAATCACTTTCCCCCACATCAGTTATTTTTCTTCTTATATAGAATTTCTGTATATTCTAGGGAACACAAATACTTAAAGTATCTCATACAAGAAAATATATGAGATAGTTGATCATTCAGTTCTGGCAGCCATAAAATCCCAGCGAATACAGCATTCATTAGAACAATCAAATTCAATCCATTCACCTGATCATGTTTACAAAAAAATTTGCTTTTTTTTTTTTCAAGAATTACACAGAAAATCTTAAACTCGTTTCCTGATCTTTCTGCCTCTTAGGTTCACAGTACTGTGCTGCAAGCAGGAAATTGTGGGATATAACAGCCTTGCAGTTAAAGCTGACATCCCCAAACATATTGGCATTTAAGGATCCATTATATAAATGAGCTTTTCTTCTATCTTTTCTCAGATTGCTCACTAAGTGCATAATCATTCAGTCTGACCTGAATTCTAATCCAGCTGTGAATATTCAAATTCAGACTTCTGCTGCAGCATTATGAAAAACCCCTCACAAGAAGAATGCATTTCTATTCTTGCTGAGAACAATGAAATTACATTCAAGGGCTCTTAATATTCCCCAAATAAAAATTTCATTCAGTTAAAGAAGAATTGTATCTATTTACCCAGTGCTGGTCTATCAGATCCTATTGATTTTCGGGTCCTGCTCTTGTTACTCTGTCTGTCACAAGTTTCTTGTCCTCTGTCCATCCAGTATCGGGAGTACCAGCTCCTTTGACAAACACAGGTGCCATGTCAAAGGAAAGGCAAATATCCGGTTGCAAAGACAGCAAAGCTTCTTGCATTATAAATTACTTACTGCAAATCTGCCTTTTTATACTGGCAGAATTAATGATTTGGTGCTTTGCTGACAGCTCCTCCTCTACCCCAGTACCCCCTTCTTTTCTTCCAACTTCTCTCTGACTTCCTAAAGACTCAAAAGACTTGAATTCTTAGCATCACCTAGTGGCCGATAGCTATAATGCCTATCTTCTATTAAAGGTAGGAGTTATTCCTCCCATGCCTAATTTCTGTGATGCTGCTTTTTATTGGAAATCATTTTTATGTTGTTCATATCTTTCCATTTTCAAATGTCCAAAATACCTAAATTGTTACTTTCCGATTTTCCAATTTTTAAAGCAACATCCCATTTTAAGTATTTGTTGTACAAAGCTTAATTTGAACCATCAGCACTTTTTTTCCATATTGCTGGGCGATGGGGGGGAGGCGTTCTGGCTGTACACAAGAAATAAAAACAAAGAATGCCTCTGAACATGTGCACACTTTTTTCCCTTTGCCAGCAAATGACTAGAACCAGGTTCAGTGTCTCTGGGACATGATTACTGTCTCAGTACTTCTGCTTTCACAAATGAAGGCCTGAGGTTGTAGCTTTCAATTACTGGCTGACCATGGCCCAGTTTGCTTAGAGGTTTTTTTTTATTATTATTTTGCAAATTTGCCAAGCATCTTTCTCCCCTACCTCCAGTTCCGGGCACTTTAACGTTTCTCTTCTTCATTATCATGTGTTTAAATAGAAGATTTCTGCTGCGTTATTTGAACATTGAAAAGTTAAGGTACAGCTGATGCTTGCATCACTGCCCATAAGGTCAGCAAAGCTTATGTGCAGGGCTGAATAATTCCCTATGTTTCTTATATGAAAAAAAACCCTTTTATATTTCAGGCCAGGTCTACAATTCCATCAGGATTCCAACCAGATCTTTGCATCACTGTATATTGGATTTCTTTATCAATACTTTCAAAAAGTTTGTTTTGTAAATTATTCTGCAGTTCCTGCCCACCATGAATATCTTTGAAAAGGATGCAAGCTTTAATTGAGAAAGCAGGTTTGGCTTTGTTGATCTTGTTTTATATCATCAGGCCTATTTGTTGACCTGTACTAAACTTTGTTCTTTTCTACTTAGAACAGGTTTTTCAGCTAGATCAATTTTGGAATTTTCTTGTCTGTATTGTCTCTCTAAATGGTTGGTATTAGGTTCTCGCACATTAAAAAGAGATACATCTTAGAGATGTATTGTATATTATGACATGTAAATTAAATTTTGCTCCACTTCCTCATGCTAAATCAACTTATTAAGGAAACTCAGATTTAAGAATGGATATGTAGATTATTTTGTTGTAGACTTGGAAGAATAAGTTGCTTTTCATCTTGGATCCGCTAGTGGATGCTAATGATGAGTTTGTGGCATTCTTGCCTTTGCCTACCAATAACAATACCTGCTACAGCTGAATGGCAATACTTCTAGGATCTTGGATTGGCCCTGCCACTTTTATAGCTTCAGAGTCTCTTTCAGTATTGAAAACAATTCATTGAGATCCATCAGTTAAATTAACCCACAACCCATGTTTATAAATATTTACATAGACTTGTGAGTCTGTGTTCCGAGTTCTAACCTCAGCATAGGAATGACTTCAGAGTCAATGAATATACGTGACTTCAGAGGGTGGAAGTCCATGGCAACCCCAGTCCATGTAGCAGCTATCTAGGAGCTATAAGATTGTTCTCCTTTCCAGTAAACTTAGACCAGTGGTCCTCTGCTGGTCTACACACAGCGACAAAATATTTTAGGCCAAATGTGAAAGCAACAGTCACTTTCTGGGCACCAATGTCTATTGCAGGTACGTTTCAGCTGTATAACAGGTGCATACATATACAGGCACACACAGAGTCTAAAATTGGCAAGGCCACATGCAGAAATACATTGTCCCATAGCTCTAGTCAGAGTTGCAGCATAGTTACAGCAATAGTTTCACTGAAACCTGTGCCTTCCTGACCTTCCAGCCAACTTTCTCTGTCTGGCTTGGTGGGAATCAGGTCTTTCAGCACAGGAGAGCTTCTTTACTGATACATGACAAGCTCTCATCATCTGCGGTTGTTGAATTTTTGGGACTGCACAGAATAGCAAGCAGGAGTTGTCATCAATTTTAATTCAGTTAAACTTTATATTATATCCATACTATCAGCATTAGCTAATAACACTAAAAACTTTTTCAAAGTTCCTTCAGCAAACAAACAAACAACCATCACAGGGAGTCAGTTACCATTTTCTAAATTACTAGGCAGTTTATTGATTTACTAGATTTATATCCCACTTTTTTCTGGCAAGGAACCCAAGACAGCTTGCCTTATCTTTTCCTCCTCATTTTATCCTAACTGCAACCCTGCAAAGTTCCATGGGGGTTCAAGTGACTGGCGAAAGTCACCTAGTGGTTTGCACTGCTGAGTGGAGCATTCAGGTAGTCTGCTAGGGCCTACTAGCTGTTCTTAACAGGTCGTAAGACTTTCAGATATAGATATAGATATATGGTTTTTAATTTTGTATTGTAAATTTTATGGTGTCTTAATATTGATGTATTTTATTGTAAGTTTGATATACTATGGTGAACCACCAAGAGAGCTTTGGATGGTGGGTGATATAGAGGAGTCCAAATCCAACACTCTAACCACTATACTACACCGATTCTCAGTGTGCATGTGTCCTGTGGAATGCCTTGAAGTTACCATTTTGGCACAACTTTTCCAAAGAACAGTTTTGCTGCAAGCAAAATCACCTTTTTATGTTTTATTCTATTGTATTGCCAGTGTTGAACCAGGGATTTCCAGTGATGTGACAGCAGGAGAGATGGGTGCAGTTTCTGATGGGGTCAGGAGGCAATTCAGTCTCACCCCAAAATTATATGGTCAGTTGCCTGAGGAACTGGCCAAAGGAAAGGGTACTGCTAATACCTGTGGGGTTCTCTTTTTTCCATGGTGCACAAATGTGTCTTGTGTGCACATGAAGTTGAGTTCACATGTTTTGTGAAGGTCTCCATGTTTAAGGCAGGCTGATGTTTTTGCCAGGAGTGCAATATCGTGAGTTTTCAAATTAGAGTTTTCCCTTGCCAGTGCTCTGAATTGGCCAATTTAACAGCACTTCACAGCTGTACATCAAGGCTTTTTCAAAGCATAATTTTATCTTACCGGGAAGCTCCCAACCTTCTGTTCAGCTTCCCCCACCAGCAGAGAACAACATGGCACATGCAATTTTTGTCAAGCTCTTCCTGTACAGTTTTGTTCTATCGCCATCATTTCTAATCGCTCCTAAAAGCATCCTTTCCATACACACCTCCCGCTGTGCACAAACTCGTTTAACCGGAGAGACTCTGTGCACTTTTAAGTACTTTAAAAAGGAAGGCTAGTCTTTTAATTATTTATTATTTTATCTTTTTTAATCCCATAATCTTTCACATGTATACATTCTTCTGTATAATCTGTTTATTCTCAGTCTAGCTATACTAAGGGCACCTGCAATTGCCCTTTTTATTGTTGGTCCTTTGTATAGAATCAGCAATTCCACACAAAAAAAGTAAAGCAAAACAAAAACCAAACAAGCAACAAGAGTATTTCATCCTGTTCATTCAACAAGGATCCCATCTTAGACAAATAATAGGTGCAATGAACACTAAGTGGTCCATTTTGTGAAACTAAAGGTACTTTTTGATGGCATGCTCCTAGTGCTAACCATCAAAAGACATTGTGAAGATATCCCATATTTTCTTTCTTAATGTTTTTCCTGTCCCGGTAAGAAAAAGTTTGAAGAGAAGTTGGAGGGGTGCACAGGAGGCTACCAATAGAAAACGTCTGAGCCCTCTGTAAAATTCCATGACTGATGCAGGGTGATTGCACAAAGGAAGTCTAGGGTTCTGTCCAAGATCTGC